TCCTGCAATTTTGATACCAGATATCCTTTCAATTAACCACTGAAAGTTGCTAGGAGTCAGGTGGCATATACTGTACATGCAATAAATTGCAAATCACTTTTGGCAAAGTGGCCACTGAAGCCAGTACTGTTTATATGGGAAACTTGAAATCAGCAATCAGCTGACCTCCTTTCAAAAGCAAATCTGACTTCTATTTTCAGTTATGAAAGGGGAATCTCAGCTAAAAATCCTAGTACACAGACCATTCAAATTGAACAGCTAATTATTCTAGATATTTAAATTGAACAAATCTCTAGCAGAGAGAGGTTCTAACTAGAATATTTAAAAATTAAGAAAGACATGTATCTTTGAACCATGTCACATTTTTACTTCACTAATAGGATCTAAAGGGAAAACAGAACAAAATCTTACCTTTGCTACTTCTCCAGAAACAGCGTTGGGGGAAGGCTGCAAGTGAGCATATCATTGTAAGTAACAAACGCATTAGGAAAAACTTCAGAACAGAAGCACACAACTATTTTCACTTACTTTTGCCCTAACGTAGGCTTTTCTTATTTTCAGTCCAAGCTTCTGAGCAAGTTCTTGGGTTAATTTTATCACATTTTCATCCTAGAAATTAAAATAAAAGCAGGATGCAATGCACATTAGCAACAAAGGTTTTGTCAGAAATGTCACACAACTGCATCAGGTACATCAACGCCACCTGCATCTGATCTGGGTTCTGTAGGGACTCATCCTGAATCAGGACTGAACATCAAGAGGCTTCTGGAGGCCACTGGAGTGGGGTGCCAGTAAACCTAAATAATTCTTGCAGTGAGTCCAGGCAAGGTAATGATGTACATTTATGCATCCATTTATGCATCATTTATCACTTCAGTCAGCTATGATTCTAGGCCACATGCAACATTTCAGTAAAATAATACAACATATAGTCATTCACTCCTTCCCAGGCCATGGGATTGCTAGCCCAAAGAAGATAGGAATGGAGTCAAGCTTCTCCAGCATCTTTTTATTTTAGAGGAATTTTCTACTCTCTTCTTGTTCTGAAATCACATGCAGGTAAACTCTTATTAATGCGCCACCCCCGCCCACTAGCTGATGTGACATGCGTACCTGGGGCACTGCAAGAGAGCATTTTGCCACAGCATCGTAAGCCTCTTTATATCTTCCCAGTTCTTTTAAAGCTTTGGATCTCCGGTAAAGGGCTCTGAAATTATTTTCATTCAACTTTAAAACTATCCCACATTCTTCTAGAACTCTATCATGCGACCCCTGTAAGAATGAAGGACGAACAGTGTCAAGCATTTTGCGATTTGAATCTCAGGCTGCAAGCATATTCCAAGACAATACAATGCCGCACACACAAACAAAAAATGTACATCAGGCCAGGTCTTTTTAAGCTCTTAGGATCTCAGAATGCTCATTGCCAAGACTGCTATTATTGCTGCCATTTTAAGGTGATGAAACTGTTGTATTTTGCTACATTTGTGTTAACAATCATAGTGTTTGTTTTTAGTACTATACTGTTAACTTCCTGGGCTGATAAAATGCTGATTCCATCACACCCACCAAGGTTACAAAATGGAAACCTAGTTCTTGATAAGCCATGAGCTTTTTTTAGGAAGCACCTACCTTCTTGGAGTAACAGGCTATACGATTAACATGCAGTTTCTCTAATATCTCATCAGAAATGTGGATTCCTTCAGAATTGGCATAATCGGCTATGTTCAAAGCCTCAGAATAATGGTTCAGTGACCCTTCCCAATCACCTTCTCGGTATGCATCGTTTCCTTCATTAAACAGGTTTTTAACAAGTTCTCGTATGAAGATCTGAAAACATAAATCCTCTGTTAAGTCACACAGGTAGTTCTGCAGCTCGACAAGGGGCGCTTTGCTATCATCAATAATTTGTTCTGGAGGGACTCCAGGTAGCAGCGCATAGCAAAGCTTTAGATCAGTTTGGAGTAATGTTCCATCTAACAACATGTGGTAAAAAAATCCTGAAACCTATTGTCCTTCCGCTACTTCCACACAACGGCTACTAACAACCAAGCACTAACTAGACATGGCTGATGTGGGTCAATAAGGTAAGAGAAATCATCACATCCTACAACAGCCAAGATTCTAGAAGTTTCTACCCACTGTTGAGACCACAATGCCTCAGGTAAAGAAGTTCAGAAAGAAACATCAGTTACCTCATATTGTTCTTGAGACCCTGGGTAGGGTAGAGTAGATCTAGAAATCACAAAGATAAGAGTATCAAAGTCACATTCAAGGATCTTGCACACCCAAGGCACTTGCCACTGAAATTCTCGATCATGGCTTGTACCCGTGCTACACACTTCACACAAGAATTAATTTTGCAATCCAGATTATCTCCAAAAACACCAATAAGAAAATATGATTGGAGCATAATATTGCTAACAGGGCAGAATGTGCAGTTCCATGTATAGCAGATATTCCAAAATAAAGATGCAATCAAATGCAAATTAAAGAGTTCTACTTAACACAACATATGAGAGACAATGCACTAAGATAATTTGTTTGCCTGTGTTTTATTTTGTAACAGCAAAGCTATGTGATCTTTAATATAAACTTAGCACAATGTATGTAAGAAGGAAATATGTTGCATCATGTTTTAAGCAGTGGCTCAACAGTTCTCAGACACAGATGTCTAGTTACTCAAAGTACTTACTGTATAAACTGCAGCCCTTTCTTAATGTCCTGTAGCCTGATGCTCCTGTCCACTGAAACACTGGACATGTTATCATGAGCACCCTCGTCTTCAATAGGCAGCTTCTGAAACAAAAGTAATAGCCTGTCGCTGGTTTGCAAAACAATTTGTGAGAAGTTATGGAAACAATCAGCTCCAACATCAGCCTAAATTATTCAACATCAACTCTTATAAAATAAATCCATGTTTACAAAATAAGTTTATTTATATTAACTATATTGATAAACAATGTTTAGAGTTGTTTCCACCTGAATTGATCCATACGTTTATTAGCTCTGTTAATCTAGACCAAGAAAATAAATTAGGCAATAAATACTGCCTCTGTTCTATCATATCCCTCTGAACCTGGGATGTATATAAATATAATAACTTTCGAAATCTCATTTTCAAAAAAACCCAAAACCCAACATATCCAAGGGGGGAAAGCTACAATGCACTTTTGCTAGGTTCTCTTCCCAATACTTGAGATTACAATTCCCCTAAGATATCCACCCAGCGAGGTTGTTGCAATATATTTAAACCAATCCAGCAAACAGCAATAAACCCTTTCATTCTCTGTGAAAATCAAATCTAGTTCACAAAAAATATGATGCACAATGTTATACAATTTTTCACTGTTTTAGCTAGAAACTAATCATTCTAAATACTACAACATAAATCCTATACTATTACAGTAAAAGTAAATGCAAATAAATACAGCCATATTTTAAAGAAATTTTCAAGATAAGTCCCACCATCTAGGGGAGAAAAACAAAATACTTCAAATAACGCAGGACTTTTGATTTGAGTTTACTGAAGCTAACCATTTCAAATATTTCCGAAACATTCCAGACAACTGGTCTACTTCAACATATTTTAAGAAAACATAATCTAAAGTAGGATTAAGAGACTCGCTATTAATTGTGAGTCGCTTTCTACATCTAATCCATTTTAACAAAGAACAGCAACGCCAAAAACAAAAAGGAAAACCAAAGCAAAGAACAAGGCACAGACAGTCCTTGACGTATAACAGTTCATTTAGTGACTGTTTGAAGTTACAACGGCATTGAAAAATGTGAGTTATGACCGTCTCACACTTATGACCTATGCAGCATCTCCATGATCAAAATTCAGACTTTTGTCAGCTGGCTTTCACTTCTGAATGTGATTCCATTTTGCAACCTTCTGATAAGCAAAATCAATGGGGAAGCCAAATTCACATAAAACAACCATGTTACTAACTTAACTGCTTAACAAATGTGGCAAGAAAGGTCACAAAATAGGGCAGAATTCATTTTAACAACAGTCTCCCTTGGCAACAGAAATTTGGGGCTCAACTGTGGTCGTAAGTCAAGGACTACCAGCAAAGAAGGAACGGCGAACCTCTGAAAGGCATCCCCGAAACGGTTGTCTCCCCCCCCCCCCCCCGCTCCTTCGCCCGGTCTCGGTCACTCAGAGGCAGCCGGGACGCTCTGCAAAACGCCGGGACCTGGTTACCCCAGCGCCCCTTGCCTCCCAGGAGCATCCGGGAGCAGAAGCGGAGCCCGTTTCCCCTGCCAGCCACGCGCGGGACAAGCTCCCGCTCGGACACAGGATGGCGACCGAGGCAGCCGAGCGAGGAAGGGGACTCGCGCTCTATAGAACCAGGGGTCAGAATCGCTCCCGGCTCACAAGGAGCAAACGTGGCGGCGCCGGGCTGGGGTGGCGGGAAAGCCCCTCCTGGGGCTGGCAGGGGCTTCCCGCGGGAAGGCCGGGGGGCAAAGCGGCCGTTCCCCTCCGGGGGAGCGCGGGGCCCTTGCCCGCCGCGGGAGGAGCTGGGCGGCCCCGCGCGAGCTCACCTCCGTTGTCGCGTCTGCTCTGCCTGCGGCCTCTCCGGCTCCCTCAGGCCGGGGCCGAGTCGCGGAGTCGGCGGCAGCTATCGAGGAACGTCGCCGCGAGCCAGGCCCTCTGCCCCTCTCTCTCTCTCTCTCCCCCCGCTGCTTCCGCCTCGCCGGCGTCCCCTTCCGGCCTAGACCTCTGGCCACGCGAGCTAGAGCGCCCCCTCTCGACCGGAGGCCACCTGGAGGCGCCGCAACGTGAAACCGCGGTCGAAGCGGGCAGTCGCTTCGGGGGCGGGGCCACGGACGACTCGGCCAAAGAGCAGGGCCGAGATTGTTCTCCCTCTCGTTCCCATTGGTCTGGACGAAAAGCTGCTCCCTGCCCATTGGTTACTTTGCATGGGCGGGCGCTTATGATAGGCCAATAGTTTCGATCCTGGGTCCTGCACTGTACGAGCCCCCTTGAAAGGGCAACCGGATGTCCCTCAACTCTGCAAGGAGGGCGGCTAAACAGGAGGTGTGCCTCTCCGAAATTGCCTCCCCCGCCCTATACGCAGACTCGCTTGCAGTCCGGACGCTAACAAGCGAGGGAGGCGTGGAACGGCTTGCGGGGGGGGGGGGGGTCCCGAACACCTGCCCTGGCCACAGACTTGCCCCTCCGCTAGAGGGGTGGCGATGTGCGCCTGCGCGCGCCTTTCCGCGAGGTGAACAGTAGCCCCTCCGTGGGCGGTGCTTAGTGGAGGCGAAGTTCGAAGTCGCGACGTCACAGAGGGTCTCCCTGTGACGCAATGGGCCTTCGGGGAAGCCCGCCAGCTGGGCGGGGGGCTCGGCCGCCGGCGCGAAAGGCAGCCGGAGGAGTGGCGCCTGTTCTGACGACCCCGGGGAAGACACGTGTCGCTGCCAGAGCCCCGCAGCAGAGCTGGAAAATGCCCGGCCGCCGCGCCTTTGGGGGGCTGACTCTGCCGCTGCTGCCCGTCTCGCTGGGGGTCTTGCTGGGCCTGGCCCCGCGCGCCTCCCCGCTGGACAACGGGCTGCTGAGGACGCCCCCGATGGGCTGGGAGCCCTGGGGGCGCTTCAAGTGCAACACGGACTGCGGGAAGGACCCCGAGAACTGCATCAGGTGTGGGAGGCGGCGCCCTCGGGGGCCTGGAGGGGGTTTTGCCCAGGGGAGAGATCCCCGCCCCGGCCTCCTGGAGGAGACCAAGGCCGCCTTTCCTGTGCCACCAGTGAGCACCTGATCAAGGCCATGGCCGACCGGCTGGCTGCGGACGGGTGGAAGAAGCTGGGCTACGAGTACGTCACCCTGGATGACTGCTGGGCAGCCGGCAAGCGGGACGCCCACGGGAGGCTCCAGGCAGACCCGCAGCGCTTCCCCAGCGGGATGAAAGCCCTGGCTGACTATGTGAGTGCAGGGGAGCCCTCGGGCGGGTGTGAAGCCGCCTCCTATGCTGAGGTGTAGCTTCAAGCCCCCCCTCTAGGGAGCACCAAGCGTCTGTGCGGTTTTAGGATCCATCAATGATCAAAGGAGGCTGCACATGTGTAGAAAAGCTCGACCTCTTGAACCCAGTGCCCAGGGTGGGTCTGGCAATGCAGTGACCTGGCCCGGCTCCGGCTGCCAGCCGGGCCCCTCAGCCCAGACAACTGCCCTGGGCATCCTCAGCCCCTCTTTCCTCCTCCTGCTCAGGTTCATTCCAAAGGCTTGAAATTTGGCATCTACAGCGACTTGGGCAATGCCACCTGTGCAGGTTATCCGGGCACAACCCTGGAGACGGTGGAGATGGATGCAAACACCTTTGCAGAGTGGGAGGTCGACATGCTAAAGCTGGACGGCTGCTTCTCCGACTCCTCCTTCAAGGCTATAGGTGCCCTCCCCCGTGGCAGAAGAGCACCTGGGGGAGCACACAGGGCACGGGGGGGGAGGGGTCTGTGGGTCAGCTGGGAAAGAGCAAACCAGGTCATTCTAAACGCTGCCAACGCTTCATGGCTGCAGAGTTTTCATGAGGCTGTTGCTGCTCCGTATGGCAACCGTCTGTGTGTGTGTGTGTGTGTGTGTGTGTGTTCCCCTTCAGGGTGGCTTTGCTTCGGATGAAAGCCAGAACATGAGGCTTCGTCTTTTGAGGGAGGCCGGTGGAGTTGGGCTTCTCAAAGTCCATTGGCTTCATTCATGCCAAGGGCAGGACGGTGCTGCCAGGTTGCCCCTCCCATGCAAGCGGTGGAGGCCAATGGCTTCTGGGAACCCCCCGGGGTTGGTGGGGGAGAACTATGAGATAACTTAGGCAGCCTCTGCCTGCCCAGCTGACATCCTCACTGTTTTTCAGGTTACCCCAAAATGAGCAGAGCACTGAACCAGACTGGGCGGCCCATTGCCTTGTCTTGCAGTTGGCCAGCTTACGAAGGGGGCCTTCCGCCCAAGGTAGTCCCAGACCCAGACTCCCGCCTTTCCGCAGCAGGGCCCCTTTACGGGCCTGGTTCCTTTCAAGGCTGCCTCTTGAGCTGCGGTTTGTTAAGGACCCCAAAGTGTGTGGCAAGGGTGGCGGGTGGGGTGGGGGCAGTAGGTGCCAATCCCTCTCCCAGGTTTTGGACAGGCTGTTTGAGGTCTCCTCCCCCCACCCTTCCTGAGAGCATAAAATGACACATCTGCCTCCCCATCTGAGATCCCAGCCCATTCGTGGTGGTGGCCATTCCTCCGCGTTTCCTTTGGTCTACTAAGCAGCTCTGAGGAGAGCAGCGATTCTCATGGCTTCTCCATGGCAGGCCTACCTTTCATTTCAGAAGTCTAAATCTGCTTGTTTCAATTCAGGTGAATTACACCTTACTGGGCCAGATTTGTAACTTCTGGAGGAATTACGCCGACATCGAAGATACTTGGGACAGCCTCTTCCACATCATTGAGTGGTACGGAGACCACCAGGATATCTTGCAGCCGGCCTCGGGGCCCGGAAGGTGGAATGACCCTGACATGGTGAGACCCTCTTCCCTACCTCCTGCCCAGCCCTGAGCCCAGGGAAGAGGTCGAGCTATGACGGCCACTCCTAGGGCACCCGGGGGAGGCGAGGGGGAAATGCAGGCCTAGAGATTCTGCTTTCAGTGCCTGACTCTGCAGCTCCGAAGCAGCTCCACGTTCTGGGTCTGCAGGACCCCCACGTGGGCTTCCTTTGCTTTCTCTTCCGGAGGGGTTGGGTCAGGCCACCTGGCATCCTGTCTCCTTCCAGCTGATCATCAGCGACTTAGGCCTGAGCCAAGAGCAGTCGAAGGTGCAGGCGGCGCTGTGGGCGGTCCTGGCGGCCCCCTTCTTCATCTCCTGCAACCTGAGGAACATCTCGGAGGAGGCGAAGGACACGCTGCAGAACCCGCTCCTGATCTACATTAGCCAGGACCCAAGGGGCGTTCAGGGCAGACTCCTTGCCAGGGTGTGTGTGGGAGAACCCCTTCCCCAGAGCAGGGCTGCCTTGTGCCCGGGGAAACGGCTCCGTTCTCTGGGCTCAGGAGCCATGGTGGGCTTGTGAATCTCTGAGCAAGTCGGGGTGAACAAGAAGCCTTTCTGTGCCCCTCGCTTGTCTCTCGGACAGAAGCAGAACTTTGAAGTCTGGAAGAGGCCCCTGGCCGATGGCCAGTATGCGGTCGCAGTCCTGAACAACAGAACTGATGGGCCCCCACGCTCATTTGCCACCACTCCCAGCCTCCTGGGCATTTCAGGCTGCAGAGCAGGCTATAGGCTCTACGATGTGCTGGGCAAGCTGTCCATGGGCGCTTACGCCCTCAATGACACCATCAGTGCCAAGGTGATGCCCACCGGGGTGCTGCTGCTCTTTCTGAACCCGCTGTGCTAATCCTGCCATTGCGCAGGGCAAGGGAGCCAGGGACGTTTCTGGGAAGGACCAGCTGCTTCCTGCTTGCAGTGAGGCTTCAGGTAAAGTGACCACCCCTCCCAAACTGCCCTGCTGATGCTGCTTCTCCTAGGGGGCCTCTGAATTTTCTGAGGCAGAGCCCCCACCCAGTTCACAAAGGGCAAAGGACAGAGCACCAAAGCAGGCCCATAGCAGGTCCACGGGGCTGGGAATGAGTGACTTGTCAGGAGGCCGGGATCTGCTGGGATGCTGGCTGCGCCCCCTTGCTTTCCCAATGGGAGTGAGTCCGGAAAACCCCCCATCATCCCTGCAATTAAATGGTTCTTATTTCAGTGGCTCCAGTAATCCTGTACGTGTTGCCTTCCAAAACCCAGGGAGGCAGAGGGGGGATGGGGCAGCTCACCTGCTTGCTCTCCCACGTGTCTCATGCGCTGGTGCTCCCAGCATCGGCTGGGCCAAACGAGGGGAAGCCAAGGAACCAGTGACGTTTCTGTGCTTGGTGGGGGCGGGATGTTTGCAGGTTGCTGGCACTCCTCTGGTTCAGAAAGGAGAGGAGACTTCTCTGATTGGCCTGTTTTCCTTCACCCAGCTTCAAATCTCTTCCCCCCCACCCACCCCGAAAACTTCTCTGAAAGGCCACATTCTGCTTCTGCTTGGAGACTCGGAGGAAGGCAGCCAGCAGAGCCAGCAAAGGGTCCGAAAAGCAGCTGTGCTGTGCAAGGCAAGTGATACCAGAGCACAGGCCTGAGAGGGTGCCCTGTAAGCCCAGGCAGCGGCCAGTTTGGGCACTGGCCGAACCCCTATTGAAAGTGTTGACCACTCTGGAGATGCTGTCCAAGGCTGAGGGGCTGCTGGGGGCTCCCCTGGGAGGGCTGCCAGAGATGGAAGCCAAAAGGAGGGAGCCTTGATCCAGTTGATCTGGGTTGCCTTAAGATCGTATCTAGATTGTACTCATCTGTTCTGAATCCTGATAGGTATTGGAAATTATTTTTCAATGTGTTCCCATGCTCCCCCTTGCAGTTGCCCATCGAAACATGGCCGGTCAACAGTGGCAGCACGGAGGCTCCCTGAAAGACCCAATGCCACATGACTGATGTGAGCACCTTCTGTGGAGCATTGTGCCTTGTGGGAATTTGACATCATTCTGGAATCCTTTACAGCAAACTGGGTTTCCACAGGAAAGGAGGTCAACACGAGAAACCGTCTTTTGCATAGAGTATCGGAAGGGTTGGTACACGAAGTAGTCAGAGCAGGATCAGCCTTTTATTGAATATCTTCTGGCTAAATGGCGAAAGTTCAAATGATGTAGTTAATTATAGGTTGTCTTCTTGGTAAATCAACTGAGTTATTAATTCAGTGATTATATTTAAATGAGACACCCAAAATCAATTTGGAAGTGATGACTAATATATTAATGATAACCAAATATATAATTGCAAAATGTATCCGGTCTGAATGATTTGTTAATTGCGTTTATGCATGTGATTGTGACAATGAAACTTGCACCAGTTTTTGTAATCGTTAAACTGGAAGATCTGTTGATAAGTGCATAGCTTCCTGTTCATCAGTGACACCTGTTGCACTGGCAACCCCCCTCCCTGCTCCCCTCCACCTTCCGGCCGGCCACCAAGATGGGCTTTTCACCAGGCGCTGGGGGGCATCCCTGGGAGACAGAAGGAGGCACCAGGTTTGGGTTGTGTTTTACGATTTTATAGTTTGGGGTTTTTAATTGTTATTGTGAGCTGTCCAGAGTTCTGTTTTTGAGATGGTCAGTCATGTGACTCTTTAAATTAAAATCAACCCACTTTGCACAGGAACTGTTGGAGGGGATTACAGGATCACCAGATATGTCAGCATCTCCAAGCTGAGACCCAGAGGGCACATCCCGTTTCGGCTGGGGCACATGTGGAAAGGGGTTTTACTAGATTGCATTTGGAGTGTGAGCTGGCAGGGTGATGCATCTCTAAGCTTTTACTGTGCTGTTCAGATACTCCGGATTTTTGCAAGGTCCTTGAATCCCGGATGGCAACATCTCGGCAAGAAACAGCTATGCGGAATTTCACCTCAGGCTCAGATTAATGGGAGCGGTCCTGAGACCACGGCTTGTTTTGGGCCTCTGCATAGGAAGAGGGATAATCACACACACACACACGCACGCACGCACAACCAGCAATGGACATATTCAGCCAGAGCTGCCAGGATGGCTGTTTGCATTCATGCCGATTCCTGCAGCTGTGAGAACACAATTAATAGTGTCTGGAATGCAGCAAACAGAACCTGCTGATTTACTGACTGCTGCTGCTGCTGCTGCTGCCTTGTTGTGGTGCCAACTGGGCAAATATTGTAGAACAGATTCTGTTTACTTTAGAGCCAGTTTGCGTGCAGGCAACTTATGCAAGACGGCATGTTTCCAGAAAGTACAGGGCAAGCCGCCTGCCCAAAACTGCAATTAGCTGGATGTTCATGGTGCCGCCTCTGGGAAATACAGAAGAATGGATTTATTGGTAGGAAGGAAAAAAACCTTGAGAAAGTCTCAGGGTGCCTGTTGGTGCTCCATCTCCTGGAGGAGTCTTGGTTGTGTGCCTGGAAACGTGACTTCCATTGCAAGGGGGGGGGGGGGGGCAGAGAGGGAGGAGGACACCCTGCCCCCCTCACGACAGGGCTGCCATGAGTAATTCTTGCCTTTCTTTGCAAAGAAGCGCATCATCCACCATCAGGTTAAAGAGCAAGTCAAAAGGGCGAGGCTTTAGCTGGCTCCAAGCAGACCTCCTCCCACCAAGGGAGCAGGGGGACCTTTGGAAGAGGATCTAGAGGGATGGGTGCCAAGGGCGGGCTGGAGGAAGGAAGGGGGATGAGCAGCCCCACCTGACTGCCCAACCGGCCCAGCCTGCTTTGGTGGTGCTGGTCAGACAGGATGAGGTGACCCAAAAGAACAGGCTCACCTACCCCTTCCCGGAGACACAGAAGCAGAGGTTGAGATTTACAGGACCTGCCAGCAGGAAGGCCAGTCTGTCCCACCCAATGGGCTGCGCAGGTGACTTTTGGGAGACGAGCTGCAGGGAGCGAGGGATTCATTTTGCAGCCGGTGATTTGCAAACACACACAACTTTTTCTTTTACCCAGAGAAAGCAGGAAGACCTGCTTGCGCTGCTGGGAGTCTTCAGCCACAAACACCTTTGAAAGCCAGAAGGCGCTGAATGGCAAGGAGGGCTTTTGTCAGGAACAAAGTGCTCTTCGCCCTTTTTATCTGGAACTAACCCATCAAACTGGAAATGGGGACAAACTTAGTCTAAGTTAGGTGTAAGTACACCTGTTCAGGAAGACCTGAGGCTGGGAGAAGGGCTGGCCTTTCCTCCCCCATTCGCTGCTCTCTGGCTGCCCCACACCACCTTCGGCTCAGGCCCAGCTGGAGGTCCCTGGGCTCGCTCTGTCCTTGAGCTCTTTCGTTTTCAGACTTGGGGGGGGGGGGCAGCTGTCCAAGGGAACCAAATCCCGCCTCCCTCCGGCCATCCGCTGAGCCCCAAGAAGAGGCGCTGCACCCCCCAGCCAGGGCAGGCGACCTGGGCCCTGAGCAGCCTCTCTGGCGCGTGCGGGGCGTGCGGGCGGGCGCGGCCGGCCGCGTGGGCGGAGAACGGGATGGAGGCCGGCGGGTGGCGGCGGCAGAAGCAGACGCTCCTGCGGCAGCGCCTGGACGGGACGGACGTCTCCCCGGATTGCAGCTGATGGCCCCGACGCTGCTGCTGGTGCTGCTGCTGCTGGCGCTGCTGCGGACCGGTGAGTTGGCGGCGAGGCCGCTTTCCCCGCGGGGTCCCCCCCCCTCCCGGCGGCCCTAGTGAGAGACTTGGGGCTGTGTGAACTCATTCGTTGGGTGAATCCAGAGTGGGGGTTCATTCGGCAACCAGGTGGAGGGGAGGATCGGTGGGCTCCCAGTCGGCCCTCACTCCCGGCCACTGCCTGGACAGTCCCTGCATGCAGCTTCCTCCGCTTGCCATTGCCGCCTCCCTAGGGCCCAGAGAGGGGGAAAGAGATGGACTTCTGCCGGTGTCTAGACTAGAACCGGCGTCTCCCTGCTTTTGTCTCTCGGTGGGGGAGATCTGAGTTGCCTCTCCCTGCAGGGATCCTGCTGGCGGCCGCTGAGCGGAGCCGAAGAAGCTGGGAGCAGCAGGGAGAAGGGGGGGGGAACCTTTCCAGACCGGCATGAAGGGGAGCTGCCCAAATGGAGGTGCCCGAGAAAGGGACCCCGCTGCTTTGGGGGGATTGCCTTGGACACCCCCCCCCCTGTGATGGGCGGGTGTCATTTGAGGTATTGGGGATTCGCAAGCTTGGTGTCAGCCTTGTAGACCAGACAGCAAACAAGAAAGCTGCATTGACAAATCTTTTTCCCCAGCACCCCTGCCCCACTTGTGCCGAGGCGGCGGCTCCCCGTTTTACCTGACGCCCCAAAGCCAAGAGGGAGATGGGAAGAGGCGAGAAGGCTGGGGGCAGGGGCTCCTGTTAGTGCCCAAGGGAGCTGGGCGGGGGGAGGGGGGCTCCCACCTTCCCGCTTGAACCCTGGCAGCCCACCTTGGAAACAGCCCGGTGGACAGTCTCCTAGGACACACACCCCCCCCCCCCCCTGCAGCTGCTGGTGCTGCTGGAGGGGAGGCTTCTTGGGAGGGAGGGGCTCAGAGCGTTAGGTGGGTCCTGCTTCAGGGCACCTCCCTTAATGAGAGGCTCTCCTCATGTATGTCTTCCCTCCTCCCCCTCCAAGTGTATTGTTGGGGGGCCCTAAACAGCTTTATTGGAAATCCCCCACACACACACACACAGCCAGGAGCAGAGTCAGTTGGCAGTGGCAGCAGAGGATGGGCAAGAACCCCCCCCCCCCCCAGCCTCCAGAGCTGCCCTCTGATGCCACACATTCCTTCCTCCCCCATTACAGGACACCCTTTGGGCAAGGCCCCTTCCCGGCCCCGCAGAGGAATCCTCCAGCTGGCCGGGATGATCCAGTGCACCACGGGGCGAACTCCCCTGGCCTACATTCGTTACGGATGTTACTGTGGCTGGGGAGGCCACGGTTGGCCCAAGGACCAGGTTGACTGGTAAGTGCCCCCACCAGCCTCTTGCCCCATGGTTGGCAAGGGCTCTGGTTGCTTCTCAGCCTTGGAACCCTGGGTCTGGAGGAACCGGGCGCTCCTCCTGGGGAGCTGAGTTCAAAAGCCAGTTTGCCAGATGCCTTTGCTTGAAGCTGTCGTGGAGCCACACAATAAGAGTGTGCCCAGCGGATTGTGGGAAGGGCTGCCTACATCTGAAATTGCCAACGTGGAAGGCACACCATCCTGAGAGACTCGGAGGATGCCAAGCCACCCTCCACATCCTGCCACTGCTATAAACTAAACTCGAAATAGAAACTTCCCCAAAGGACAATATTTAGCTCCACTGTATTTTAAGCAGTTGGAAATGCACATTCTGCAGCTTCCGCTGGTTCGGCACCATGAGGCCTTTGTGTCAGTCGCGAAGGTCAGGCACAGCCAAGAGTGATCGACCCATTTTGGCCAGGAAACGTGTTTTCCTTGGTTCGTGTTTTGCCCCACATCCTGGCTGATGTGGGCCAGCTGCCCAGCTTCGTTTTTAAGGGTGTGGCTTCAGGCAAGCTGGCGCCGGCAGCACCATCACCTCATGTAGACCTGAGGGTTCTGGACGGATTCTGGCCACTGCCTTCCTGGGCATCCAGGATTCGCCCATGAACCGGATGCTTCCAAATCCAGCTCAGCTGTAACTTATTCAGGGTCATTTCAGGTGACTGAAGTGAAGTTGAAAGTGACAGCACTGGGGAATTGGGGAAACAGGCCCCTCCCCCAGGTTTTCTTTACAGAAGCCATTTCAGGCAAGAGGAGGAGAGATGAGGAAGGCGCCCCACTCTTGGAGGCCTGGAGCTCCAACTGTCCAAAAGAGCAGTAATCCTCCTCCAAAAGTTTTTGCCACACACAACCTGCCTACCTTAGAGATGTAAAAAGGATCCACCCACCTGAGTAAACACAGCCTCCCTTCCTGGTCAGCAGGCTGAGGGGGGCGGGGGCGGGTGAGGGGGCTCACCTTGGCTCAGTGGGACTCCTCTGGTTCTGCCAGGTGCTGCTTCAAGCATGACTGTTGCTATGGAAAAGCGGAGGAGGAGAACTGTGCCCCCAAGACGCGGAGGTACCCCTGGGAGTGCCAGGACAGCGAAGCCGAGTGCGGTGAGTTCCCCCCCCCCCCCCCCGAGACCTCGGCAGGAGGAGAGGCCAGAAGAACCTCCCCCCAGCCAGGCACCACAGCCCACCTACTCGGAAAGCTGCCTTTCAAAGCTTCAGGGGGCAACTCCAAAAGTCGGCTTCACTGCTTGTTGGTCTCTTTTCCTTTTGCAGACGACATTGGAGACAAGTGCCAAAAGATGGCTTGTGAGTGTGACCGCGACGCAGCCAAGTGCCTGGCAAAAGCCCCCTACAACGTGACGCTTTTGTTCTGGCCAGACAGCCGGTGTGCAGAGAAGGGCCCCACGTGCCCAGACGACTGAGGCCGCCCTCGCATGGCTTCCCTGCCTGTCCGCCTTTCCCCTCGGACGGCCCAGCCTCGTCCTGCTGCAGGGACTCGGCACCGCGAGAGTCTGCGGGCAGCTCTGGGGTCTCACTTCAAGGATGTCACGCGACTCCCTTTGCTCCAAGGAGCCATGGCATGCGGGAACGAGGCTGGGCAAAGAAAGGCAGCTAGGGACAGTCAGAGAAAAGGCAACCTAGCCCTCAGCCGGAAAGTGGGAGGAGCAAGAGGGCTAAAAGAGCCCCTCCCTAGCTTTGGGGTTGTAAAGGAGATGGGAGGGAAATCTTAGGACTTCTAGGACGGGCGTCAGCCACGCGAGTGGACTGGAGAGGAAACACGGCCTGGGGGGCTATTTCTACTTGACTCTAAAGCTGCATTAACAGGTTCTTGCAGGTCTGAAAGTCCAAATCTCTCCTCGCCTCCTTTACAATCCACGAAAGTCGGGAGGGGCCCTTCTGGCCCCCTTGGCCCCCTCCTGGCCACTCCCACATTCCATCCCTGGACAGAAAGCAGGAGCACCAGGGTGGCAGAGCGGAGAACCGGTTGCAGGAACATCACAAAGTTCAACTCCCTTCGTCACAGCCTGGCCATGGATAGGCACCAGGCAGCCATGACACCTGCTGCTATTCAGCCCAGCCTGCCTCACAATCCAAACAAGAAAGGGAAGGAGGGAATACTGGGCAAAAAAAACAACCATCACTATTTTTAGAAAACATTATTTAATTTGTAAAAATGTTCTATGCAAATTTAAAGATCATATTAATACAAATGCAGAGTCAAATTTCATTTATAGAGACATCACATTTAACATAAAGGTTCACTAGAGATTTAACACAAAGCAACACAGAGGGAATTTAGACACACAGAGAAACCAGTATTCACCTACTTACACACAAGGGGTCCTTTTCCAAAGAGATTGCAACAACCTCGGCTTCAGTTGGCTCAAAGCAAGATTTTGGATTATGCAAAGATTACATCTTCTCTGCTCTGAGGAAAATGTGCCTTTTCCTCCTGAAAAGAAAGGGGGGGCCGCAAAGAGCTGCAAAACGAGACCGTCCGGCTACCCATGGACGGAGCACGGGCTGAATTCAGAAGCACAGGCAGGCGGCCCTGATCCCTCAGCATCCAGACGGGGCCCTCCTCCACCTCATAGGACTTGTGTTTCCAGGCGGCGGACTTCCTTCACTACAAGGTCGATGTTAATGATTGGGTTGAAGTACAAAGCCCAGTAAAAGAGGCAATTACAGGCAAACTGGGGGATAACTGGCCAGAAAATGGCCATCAGGAACCCCTGGGTTGACATTTTCCAGAAGTGGCTCCACATCCGGTAGGGAATTCTCCTGAAGGAGGAGGAGGGGGAGAGGGGGGAGAGGGAGAAGAGGGTCAGCGCCTGCGCTTGGCAGCCTTCCGGTTCACCCAAACGACATCCTGGGTCCCTGCAGTGCAGGCCAGCCCACCCACCCACCCCCCGACTCACTTCAGCTCCCGCCTTGACCAGAGCCTCCAGAAGGAGAACAGCTCCAGCACGGAGAGCAGCATGGCGTTCACAATGATGAAGCGGGAGGTCCAGTAGTGGGTCTCCAGCCAGTCCCAAGCGAACTCGGCCAGCAGCTGATAGGGCAGGAAAGCAAACTTCACCAGGAATTCCCGCCACTGCTTCCACACCGGGTCCTTGGGGTCCTGCGGAGACAGAAGATGAGCGCCAGCTGCCTGGCTGTGACCCCTTGGGAGGGCGTCGGCAGTGCCAGGGCACCAGGGCTGCCCACGTCGAAGGCCAAACTGCCCGGGACTCCAGACCTACGTGCAGCTTTGCAATCATGTCTTCAAGCTCCTGGGCCTCCGAGACGGGGCAGACGGTGTGGATGAAGGGCAGGAAGGTGTCGCTGTAATCTGACAGGTACAAGTACAGCATGGCGAGCCGAGGGGAGCTCTTCAAGGCGTAGAGCAGGAACAGCGAGCGCCCGGGCTGTACCGCCTGCAAGGCAAGGGACCTTTGTGGCGGAAGGGCTTGGCTCCACCCCCTGCCGGCCTCTCCCAGGCACGAGGGGGCTTGCTAGGGAAGAGCCCCGCCTGAGCCCCCGCAGCACCCACTCACTTTGTACTCCCAGAGGTTTTGGGGCGGCTTCACCCCCAGCAGCTTCACCCGCTCGAGTTCCACAGTGATGGCCTTTCGGTGGCTGCCGTTCTCCACCTGGTAAGGCGCCTGCCGGAGGTCTTCGTCGGTCAGCGTCAGAAGCAGCCTGCAAGACGAACCATTCAGGCTGGGGCAGCCGCTTTCGGCGCCAGCACTGTCAAGCCCCCACGTCTCCATCAGGAAACTGCCTTAAGAAGCCACCGAGCAAAGCGAAGCTGCCTGCCCTAAATGGAGCGGAAAGGCCTGGCCGGGCAGCAGCCAGGCGCCTCTGACTCCCACGCAGGCCACAAGCCTTGCTCCCCGTTTGCATATCCCCTGGGAATGACAGGCCAGGTTTTGTGCTCGAATCCTCCCGCCCTCTCCCGCTGGCTCACCTTCCATTCACCCTCTCCTGCAGGAACCTCTCCCTGTAGAGGGACGTCCAAGGCCCCAGCTGCCCAAGCCAGTGGGCCACCTCCTCTGCGGTCCATTTGGCCACAGGCTTGCGGACCAGCAGGCCGTCCTCTGACTCCCGGCTGCTCCAATGATAGCCCAGCAAAACCACCTAAGAGACCAACCGAGAGCACCTGAGGCTGGGCTGGGGAGGGGCTGGGGGTGCTTAAAGCGACCACAATAAGCATCATGTTCAAAGGCTGGTCATCTGTGCCTGGAGAATAAGCCACGTGTGGCCAGTTCTCTGGGATAAGGTCACCTGAGAGGCCAGCCAGCCGCAGTCCCCTCCCTTCAGCTTCACTCCGTGAGTGCCAAAGAGAAAGGGCAGCACAGCTCTTAGAAATTGGGCAGGCAGCCAAGCCCCCGCTCCCGCCATTTCCAAGCAGGTAGTAAGAAAGCCCCACCAGAAGCTCAGCCTCCCTGGTGGAACCTGCTCAGCGCCACTGCTCAAACGGGGCCCTGTAAAGCCAACCCCCCCCCCACCAGGTGTGTCAGTGCTTGTGAAAAATGTCCTCGGGGAGCCGTACCGCCACACAGGTCAATGCGGTCAGGACACCGGAGAAAAAGCCACCTCCAGGTGGGTTCACCCTCCCGGCACTGGGGGCTGCCGTGGGCTGGTCGCTCCCATACTTCTGAAAAGCAGCCAGGCTTTGCGTCACCTCGTGGTTTTGCAGAATGTTGTCTTTGCGCTGCTCGATGGCGGCTGGGAACAGCTTCTCCACGGCATTCCTGGGAGGGGAGAAAGGGCTTGAGCCAACTGGTGGCCGTGCGGCCCCTCCAGGTGAGCCAGCTCGTCCATTTCCGGAACAGCCTCTTCTCCATTGCAGCGAGAGGCATGTCAGGCCTCCCCAAACCCTCCAGCAGGAATCACTTGCTGGTCCTGCCAGCCATCCTTGCAGAGGGTTGGGGAAGGAAGACCCGTCTGCCCTGGGAGGGAGCAATGCGATGTCAGGCTGGCTCCTTGCCAAGGCCGCACCCGGCTAAGAGGAGCAGAGGCAACTAGGCCAAAGGACGGCGTTCAATCCCTCCCTCCTGACTTGCCCAAAGGTGCAGCTGGGGACGCCCTGAGGCTCCTGGCCAGAGCAGAGACGCAAGCCCCACCTTCAAGCCTCGGGCCTGACGGCCTCCCCCCACCTGCCGGCCTCTGGATGCCTTGGGACCACTGCTTGGGTCTAGGCCGGCAACTGGGAAGGGTGAAGCTGGCAGGGCAATGGTCACCTGAGGAGGATGTTGACCTTTGGGAACCCTTCCCACTTCTCCCGGCACTCTGGACATTCGTTTCTCTTGGAAGACATCCACCACAATGCCAGGCAGTGCCGACAGAAGCTGTGCCCGCAGTTCAAGGTGGTGGGGTTGATGAGGATGTCGTAGCAGCAGTGGCAAGAGAACTCGCTGACCGAGATCCGCCGGCTGATCCCTGGAGTGTCCAGCCTCTCTGCTGGCCACGGAAGACTCGCCTCCTCCATGTCCTTTCCCCCGTGGCTGCCAGAGACGGCCAGCCTCACATTCTCCAGCCCTGAGGGCAACTGGAAGAGGGCAAAAGAGGCCCCTTTAGTTTCCACAGGGGAATCTCCGGGAGAAAATCTTAGCAGCTCCTGAAATGCCTTCTAGATATAAACCCTGCATAAGGACCATCATTTGTGCCAATTGAGATTCATTTTACATGCTGACTATTACCAGTTTCGCCTTCCTTCGGGGTAGAAATGGACAACTATTAATTAATGCAACATAAGTCTTATAGCACATGAACAATGTCCCCGTAGTACTGTGTCGTATACACATCTGCATTTTTAAATGGGTCCAAAAGGTGATTTGATTTGAAATAAAACAATAGGATAAAAAGTGAGGACATTGCTAACACCCCGAGCATGTAAAGGAAAGGTGGGGTTGCTTTGTAATAAATCCCATTCTGAAAATCAATAAACACGTGGCAATTTTCTTACTGAAGTGCAAACTTCCTGTGCCTTACCTGTGGTCAAGAACACACCTGGCACCTTTGTTGCTACTTCAGCGCAAATCAGCCTCTGAAAGGAGCTCCTCTCGCTCGGCAGTCAGCTATTTGTCCTCAGCCGCCGTTGAGAGCAGCCAAACGGACCTTTCTCCTAGAAAGCGGAATGAAAGCGGAGCTCCAGACCGCGTGTGCCTTTCGGAGCGCCGCTCTCCCCTCCCAGGCCCGCCTGGAACGGGAGGGAATATTCGGGTGGCCGCTTCGGCAGCCTTTGAGGAGGGAAGGCACAAAGGGCTGCCCTGGTCTGTCCTCGAGGCGGAGCGAAAGCTCCGTTTTGTTCATGCTGGAGCATTGTAACCCTTCAAACCCGGAGGGCAACGAGGGCAACCGCCTCGCTATTCACCGAAGAAGTCACGGGCACGTCGAGCCTCCCGCTTCAGAGGCAGTCTACCTCTCCCCACACCTGCAGCCCCTTCCGCCCGGCCACTCAGACCGGACCCGCCCGGTCAGCCTCGGGGCAGCAGATCCTCCACCTGGCAGGGCGGGGAAGCCCCTCCGCGTCGCAAGACCTCTGGGAGGCGCCCCGGGATGCAGGGGGGGTGGGCGCCGGAGGGAGCCTCCGCAGGCAGGGGCAGTCTACCTGGGGATGCGAGCCGGGATGGGGGAGGGGCGCAGCGCCGCTCACTCACCGTGGGGGGAGGCGCGCGGACCCCCTCTGACAGCCACTTCCGGCCGCGCATGCGTGCCGTCCGCGCCGTCTCACTCCTGGACCGGGAATGCGCCTGCGCGAGAGGGGGCGCTCTGCCGAACGCAGACCCGCCACAGCGCCCCCTGCCGCTCATTCCTGAGCAGCGGTGCTGGGGGGTGGGGCGGGAGGAAGAGCTGCCAACAGCCCTGCGAGGTAGTCCGGGCTCCGAAGGGCCGCGGCTGCCCCACAGGGGGGTCGTTCGAGGCGGCGCCCGGCCCGGCGGCAAGGAAAGGAGTTTTACCGCCGCTTTCCCGGGCCGGGTCTCTCTGCGGACAGCTGCCTCCTGCGGCCCCGGGGATCTTTCTTGGGGGGCTCCTGTGTTGGGGTGTGCCCCGCCCCCTCCGAACTGACTCGTTCGGCCTGCCCTGCCCGCCCCGAACCGGGCTCGGCGCGGCGCAGCACCGCGTGGCCTCCCGCCCTGGTCCTGGGCTGGGCTGGCGCCTCCCTCCCTCCCTCCCGCGGCGGAGCTAAAGCGGGCTCCGGGCTCCCGACGGGGCTGGTCTATTC